CCCCAAAACCCCAAAACCCCTTGACTGTAAAATTATAGTAAAAATATTAATCAAATAAATAATCAAAATGACTGGAGATAATTATAATATTCACATAATGCTACTCTTATATTAAATGTTATCTCTTGGCTATCATGAATCTATCTAGTTATAGTCTTTTAGTTTAATAACATGGCTTTGATTTATAACATTTCTCATGCTTTTCATGATAATATATTTTATGTGGCTCAATTTTTGAATGTTTATCAAATACTAGTCAGGGAGTATTTCAAGTATCATCATTTGTTTCAAACTAGTACCGACCTCATTTCAACTTCTAAATGTGCAAATCTCAGGATGCTCATATTAAATAGGATGATCTGGTACCTTTAATGCATATTACATATAAGTCTTTCCTTAATCTTATTTATTGAACATTCTATTGATTTTAGATAGATGAAATATCTCACTTGTTGTAAGCTCTTTGTCTTTTAGTTCAATCAGAGAAATCACTTCATACAAAGAGTATTAATATATAATCCCATTCATATATACTTCCCAGTTTCTTTACTTAAACTCATCTTACTCGTCAACATATTAATCTTCTTCTAACTCAGATATAAGTGATTGATTATCGTATCACTCTTTAATAACCTGTTTTATGAAAGAATTTTCCTATTTAAGTTCTTAGATTTCATCTTCTATATATTTTAGTGATTCTTTGATGTCCACCTGAAATTGGTATAAATGACTCTGCTTGCTCTTGAGTATCTCGAAGAGAGATCTAATTATCTTATTTTCATTAAATAAATTCTTCTCTAAATGATTCAAAAACTTCTTTTTCATACTCTTAGCTTTATTGATTAAATTATTAGCTGTTACATTAGCAACTTTCATATCCAATTTACTGAAAAAATATCTATTCTTAAGGATTTGCTTCGCAAATTGCTAATTTTAAGCAGCCACAAGATTTCTCTTGTATCCTTCAATGCCAAATTTAGATTTGAAGTATGCAAAAGGTTTTTTATATTTTTTAGGTTATCTTTTCTCAGAAGTCTATCGTGTCACTTTTTATTGTTGGTTTATCAAATTAGAAGGAATTTCTTCTGTTGTAAAGCAGTTTGTACTTTGACTTCTTTATTTCAGCAAATTATCAGCTTAGCTTTTCATTATAACTATTTTTTAATTATTATAATTACAAATTCTATTGGATAATTTGAAAATAACTTTTACGAGGGGTTTTGGGGTTTTGGGGTTTTGGGG